ATACTTTTGATCGACCATAAGAGATAAACTGGTCTACGTGGAGATTATATTTCACTTTTAAATAGCGATAGACAGCGAATCCAATTCGTCTCACTTATTCCCCCTTTACTTAGAGGACTGACCCTCAACGTCTGCTTCGGGAGGGTCATCCTCATCTTCCCTCGTCACTCTCCGTCCTTCCACATTCTTCTCCACCTCAGCAACAAGGCTCTCCATAAACTTCAAATCCTTTCCAACTAGCGTCACCGTATTCCGTTTCTTGCCCCACCGCGGATAGCTCCCGACTTTGACACCTTGCGGCCCTACCCTAGCCGCTAGTTCTGTCAGATACGGCGCAATCGTACTCTCATACAATGGCGTTGCAAATAAGAGACGATGAATGCCTTCCCCCATCGGATCAGCTAGGCGGGGTTTCAGCAGCGGCTTAAGCGCATTGCACAGGCGCTCGAACAACGTCGGGACTCCGGGAAGGATATACACGTTCCCATTCACAACGGAGACAGGCAGCCAGAGGTCATCCGCGAGGAATACCGCCTGGTCTTTCAGCGGGATGGCATCATCTACAGGTATTTGGACCATGCGTAGGCGCGCTGTGAGTGCCGGTGAAGGGGTGTCCCAGTCGAAGTCCCGTTGCGCCTGTTGCGGCTTTGACAGGCTGCGCATCCGCGCCAGGGCCTCTTCATGAAGTTTCAGTTTTAGGCCAAACGCTCGTGCTATTGATTGGTAGGTGATGTCATCGTGGCTGTTTGGTTGGGAGTTTTTGTGCCGCTGGGATCATATGGCGGGAAGGTGAGGGTGGTATTTTCCGCCCCCCAGCAGCGCCCCGTCATTGCCCGCGCACACCCAAGGAGTCAGTATGCATCTGTTTCACTGTGATGACGCTGCGAGGTGAAGCAAGGGCTACGTGTGCTTGAGTGCAATATATGGATATATCGCGTACACGCTTCAGGGGAAGGGGATAAGGAATGGAATGAAGAGCGGAAGGGGAAGGAATTTGATACGAACGTTGGGCCAATTCCTCCACTCGTTACGACGAAGTCGTACCGTTCACTCATACGTCTTACAGCTTCGATAATCTCGCTCTCATCGTCCGCAATCACTTCTACACGCTTTAATGAAACGCCGATCGAGAAGCAGAATTTTGAGAAAAAGGCCGAATTGGTGTCAACGGTCTAGAAGAACGGCGGAGCTTAGAGTAACGTTATATTAATTATACCAGGAAATTCAGCAGTTACCAAGTTCCCTGAACCTCCAACAAATGAAGATTAACGTACCTTGCCGCCCAAGACTTCATCGCCAATAATCAAACATGCTGCTGTATGTATCGTTTTCTTGCTGTTCGCCAGCGCCGTCTCGGTATATGATGTCATGTGTAGCGGGATCCAAAGCGAACGGGCAGCCGTGACAGCGCGAATATGCCCGTAATTGGGTCGCGGACGAGAGAGATGCCTTGCCAGCTGGTTGACACGAGCAAACATTTAGCCTGCATGTGATGGAAAGGGTTGAGTGGCTAGGGGATGGCTGTCGGGCTTGGTCTCTGGATTTGCAAACGGAAGATGAGTCGGAGGAGCGAGCGGATCCCCCTAGCTTATTGTGGCGGACGTAAAGCTTGCGAAAACAGAATTTTCTGCCACTCCCTGAAAAATAGTAGCAAAACACCGCAAAAATAACCAAAATTTTCCACATTTCTCTAGAATCATTCAAATATCATCCAATCCATTCAAATACGCACCTTTATCATCAAATCTGCCAATATGCCCCCCCAGCTCAGCGAATTTACCACCAATGAGATCGTACGCCTTCTAAATGATGGTTATATGCCTGCTCAGATTGCGCGGACCATTGAGTGCAGTCTGGCCACTGTATATCGAATCCAACGAAATATTCGCTGCTTTGGAACTGCTAGAAGTCCTCGTTCAACATGGGGTGTAAAGCCAAAGATCACACCGGATATCTTGTCAGGTTTGGAGGACTTTTTTGAGGCATATCCAACTGCATATCGCGATGAGGCTGTCTGCTTTGTGAAGGATGAATTTGATGTTGATATCCACCCTCGATCGATATCTAGATTGTTGAAGAAACTGAATTTGACATGGAAGAAGGTGATTAATTATTGCAATTGTCACTTATAGAACCTGCTAATCTGTCAGTTCTATTTGATATAGGTTGAACCTGTGGCCAGTCAACGCAACGAAGAACTTCGAGCTGAATGGCGTATTCAAGTTACTCAGTATCAACCTGATCAACTTATCTTTTTAGATGAGAGTGCTGCGAATGAACGTACTGCAGATCGACGATATGGATGGTCAAGCAGAGGATTCCCTTGTCGCATTAGAAGGCCCTGTAAACGATCTCGCAGATGGTCAATCTTACCTGCAATAAGTGTCGATGGATATCTTGATTATGATATATATCAGGGGTCCTATAATACAGAGAGGTTCAATGAGTTTGTACGTGTCCGGATACTGCCCAAATGCCAACGAGGTTATCACTACTTAGTGATGGATAATTGCTCTTCTCATCGTTCACAAGCACTGCGAGATCTCTGCAGAGAAGCTGGCATTGGACTTTTATTCTTACCTCCATATTCTCCTGATTATAATCCTATAGAGGAGTCATTTCACGCGTTGAAAGAATGGATTAGAAGATACAGATGTCAGTTAGAGAATCAGTTTGATGGGGATTTTGAAGCCTTCTTGCATCATGCAGTTGAGAATTTCATGGGAGAAGAAGATGCAAGAGGATATTTCAGATCTGCTCATATAGGATAGTATTGTAAAATTTAAAAAGATTCAGATTGCAATTCAATTATGATGATATATAATATCTAAGTTTCAAATTCAGAAGCAGAAGCAGTATGAGGTCTGCTGTCATCATTACAAACAGCAGATAAAGACAATTTAATCTCCTTCAACTGTGACTGCCAGATAGGACTCTTTAACCCATTTCTTATTATCGAGAATATACCCATTCCAATATTCAACTGAACCACCTGCTCATTTGTCATTGTCCGTATATGATCCAGTTCAAATCCTTCATTCTGAATAATGCTCTTTGCAGGTAAAAGAGCTTCTGCTCTTCGAGGTCTCTCTGTCATCAACCAGGTGAAAGAAACTCATCAATAAACAGATCCGCGTGTTCACCAAACTGAGGGATTGGACTACTTCGAATAGGAGGCAGGGTTCGGATTCGATGGCAGGTTCGGATTCAATGGCAGGTTCGGATTCGATGGCAGGTTCGGATTCGATGGCAGGTTCGGATTCGATGGCAGGTTCGGATTCGATGGCAGGTTCGGATTCGATGGCAAGTTTGAATTTGATGGCAAGTTTGAATTCGATGACAAGTTTGAATTCAGTCCTCCCATGCCTCCCATTCCTTCCATCATATATTTCATCACCATCACATTGATTATCTCACTTGGAGACACAATATTAGATGAAGAAGGAGTTGAGGGAGATATTGGATACGATAGAAGCTGACAGTCATATCATTTGTTGTGACATTCCGTAACTTGATCTTTATAGGCTCCTTTATCCCATTGATAATCACCCGTTCATACAGCTGAATGAGATCTCAGGCTCAGGGGTAGGTGTTCGCAGAAATCGAGGATCTTCTGACTGTGTCTCCTCCTCCTCCTCCTCCTCCTCCTCCTCCTCCTTATCCTCCTTCTCATCATCAGTTGGATTCTCGTCATTATCCGGAACATCCGGAACAGGCGGTTTGGACAGACGAAGGCGCAGGGTAGTTGGAGTCCTTTTACGAGCTTGCGAGGCAGTAGAACGGTGGGTGTTGCGGGGCATATTGGCAGATTTGATGATAAAGATGCGTATTTGATGATAAAGGTGTGTATTTGAATGAATTGAATGATATTTGAATGATTCTAGAGATATGTGGATATTTTGATTATTTTTGCGGTGTTGTTCTACTATTTTTCAGGGGGTGGCAGAAAATTCTGTTTTCGCAAGCTTTACGTCCGCCACAATAGTTAACTTAGCGGCTAACTCTAACATGCCCCACCATCATCGTCACCTTTCTTATCACAATGTCCACATCTTGTTACCCGTCGGGGGAAGTAAAACTACCTGTATTTTACAATCATATTGGCCAATAATTGCAGTTCCTCCTCGGTCTTTTACCCATAAAGCGGTTCAGAAGACACCCTCAGCAACATCCAAAATGGTATCTTACTGCTCCAGTCGTCCGATTCACGGCCTGATCAACAATTCAAATCCGTATGGCAGCTAACCAGCAAATGATCTTTCTGCAGTCTGATACCAGGTTATACTCCTTTTCACCAGAGACGAAAGAGAAGCTTCGCAAGTTTCGGCTGGGGACATCCAGAGCGAAAGACCCTCAAGCTATCATCTGTAATTCTCCGTTCTTTCCTTACTCCAGTGATCCCATGTCCATGGGACGGTAACAAATATATATGTCCCTAATACACGAACAAGAAAACCTTACTCTTCATTTGTATTTCTATTGCCTGGCTATATGCGGAAATGATAACCGAAAACCATATATTGGCCCACGTGAGCTGCAGATATGATTGATTCGAAATCTCAAGAGATCCGCCCCGCCGATGATGAAATATATAGCAAAATGGAAGATGTTGCAGATGAACTTCCTGATTCGTCGCCCCGGTTTATCCTGCTCAGCTATCCGCTCACGCTGGTAAATGCCATAGTTTTCCCCGTGTTATCTTTGCGCGAGGTCTTGTCCTGAAGGACATGCCCTCTATGCAGAACCCGTCAATTCCAATGCAGTTATACGCTTCTTGCTTTCTCCCCACTTTGAGTCAGTTAAGAGGCAATGCTAACTTTAATATTCCTTTTCTTTCGGGAAACAATTAGTCCTCCGGTCGTCTCACCGTCCCTTATGTCCTTCTATACTACCTTCCGGAGAATTGCAACCCTTCATCGCGCATGATGTATGCTGGGGCTGTCGAGCTGATGAGAAACACCGCAGAGGTGAACAGGGTTATCGAAGTGGATAGTGAATCAAATGTGATTAATATCGAGACTAAGCTGCAAGGTTCGGAATGTGGG